TGAAATGAATTTTAATAACATATTTTATTTAACCAAATAAACCAGAAATGCTATCCTTTTAATACGTGATTAGCATTGAAAATTATTAAGCTATTTCACATTCCTTTTTTCTACTGATTCTTTAAAATGCCTTGTGTGATTTATACACACAGCACATCTTAAGTCATCCTGGTCACAGTTTCAGTGCCCAATGGGCATATTGACTAGTAGGTACTATATTGAACAGCACAGGTCTAGAGCAGTATTTCTCAGTCTGGGCACTACTGACATTTATGACCTGATAATTCTCCCTTGAGTTGTTGCAACCAAAAATGTCTCCAGATATTGTCAAATGTTCCCAGGTGGAATGGGGCAAAATTGTCCCCATTTAAGAACCATGAATCTAGAAAAACTGAAAAAAAAAAAAAAAAAACTGAAACAGATCTTAGGATCATCTGAGAATTTTCATCTTAGAAGATAACATTCCTGGGAACCAGCAGTTAGCGTAATGGCTATGTCACTGGACTCCCACGTAGTCGACCGCGGTTCACATCCCAGACCCGGTGGCTTAAAATTCACGCCGGGTGCATGTGCGTGCATGCCCAAGATCCCAAGAGGAGAATGGAGGAGAAGGGATTGTGGCGTGACCATCCCCCCTGGGGGGGGTTATTTCTCGCTTTCTATCTCTATGTCTCTCTCTCTCTGTCTGGCGAGCGCACACACCCTATAGCGAAAAACCTCTCCAAAAAAAAAAAAAAAAGATAACATTCCTATTGTCACTGAACCAATGACAATAACTCTTGTAAGCTATAATCTTACCCACCCTGTGTCTATATAATCAATTTTCAGAAAGTTGACCCTTAGGTACTTGAAGATCCTGAATCAACAAAAAATAGCCGATTATTTTCACTCTACTTCAAATGTTTTAAAGTTTTTTTTTTTAACAATAACTAAAAAACAGGTTTCTGATTGTCCCTTGGTTAATGAGAACCTTAAACCAACCAGGAGATTTTACTCCCCAAGGGTTCTGGTTCACCAGGGATTTACTCTCATTGGACAAGCTCATTTGAAGATACAGAATCTAGCTATTGAGCATCTATACTAGGTACCCTGGGCACAGCAGACAACAACCTGTTTATTTACAAGTATCTTCTCATGGACAGCTAGGACTATTGGTATAGGAGGAATCGTTTGAGAGGCTCAGGCAGTTGTAGTTTGTGGACAGACTGAAGACATCCTCGACCCAGGCATTTCCGGATACACAGACGACAGAGCTGAGAAAGATCAGATGGACCTGAGGGAGGGAATAAAAATGGCGTGAACCTCATGGTGGTGGAGTAAGGTGGGGGTTGAGATGGAGTGATCAGAGAACTAGAAGAGGCTGAACCTTTAAAAGCAGAAGAAAAACAGAGTCTACACAAGAATTATGGAATAAGATAGCAGTCACTAAATACAGACAAAGGAGTCTGAATTCGCCCTCAATTTGGACTTATTTCTTTGATTCTCCCATAGTAATTGTATTACTCAGATCAAAGAATGAGGTTAACCAAAGACAAGTTAGGACTAAGTATGAGGTTGAAAGGGAATGTACTTCATTGTGTGTGCCAATGAAAGTGGTATACTTGCCAAGAAGCACATGCAAATAAGTGGAAGCATTGAGTATGCATGGCTCCAACACAGGGCTGCAGAGCGCAGTGACAACTGTGTAGAGTGCCAGTGGGAAGCCTAACCTGTGTGGTCACAGAGACAATGTTAAGAGATGTGCCTGAGACCACATACTCAGCCCTCAAAGTCCTCCTGGGCCTCCCAGCCCTCTCTGCCCATGCCGTGTTGCTGACTGAGTCTCAAGTCACATTCAAAAGGGCCCTCCATTCTTGGAATTTGTCTCAGCTTGATACAGATTCACAGAAAGGACTCAACTCACTTAGACCCCCTGTCCCCCACTGTTCTTTGAACCATAATCTCATAAAGTCATCATGCCTATGGCTTTGAGTGGCTTTGAATCCTTAAGAAAATAGCTAATCGAAGTCTAAAATATGATTGAACGAGATAAATATTTGGCTAGAATACTAGTTATAGAGGGACATTCATAACATCTTATTATTTTTTAACCTGACTATATCAATATGAGGGGACTTTAAAAGTTCATGGAAAAGTAGAATTAAAATACGAGTTTAGGGCTGGCTCCCATGGCCTGGTAGTTAAAGAAGCTGGATCTCACATGGCCAACCATGCAGCACTGGCCCTGATGGCTTGAAAAACACATCAGGAGTGTGTGTACACATGCTCAAAATTCCCACAAGTGGAGAGATGAAGGAGAAGGGACTGAGGTGTGAGCATGCCACACTGGCAGGTGCTTTCTCCCTTTCCCTCTTTCTCTGGCTCTCTCTGGTGAGCACATTCACCTTCTAGCGAATTTTTTTAAAATATGGGCTTATTTTGGTGAAAAAAATTTTAATTCATGCATAACTTTTTCATAACATGCATTTTTCATGAACGTTTTAAAGACTTCCTCGTAAAGATATCTTTTTTCTTTTGTTTAGATAACAAAGTGAACATTTCAATATGTGAACATTTCTCCCCAGTCCAGTTGATCAAAATATCTTCAACAGATAACACCACACATCCTCATTACCACCCTATACAAAGTTCTTCTGTTCAAAAATTCCTACTGTGAAAGCATCTTATACCCCATGACAAATGATGGGCTGCATGTACAAAAGTCAGGTAACATTTGGATTGACATTGCCAAGGGACATTCATGTGATAGACAGGGACATGGAGGACCAAACCAACCCTTAGTTAATATCTTGGGAAGGGAGAATGGAAGGCATCTCTACCTATATCCCAACTTAAGATCCTCTGAAAAATGGTAATGCAGAGAAATTGTCTGGTTTTTCTTTTCTTTTTCTTTTCTTTTTCTTTTCTTTTTTTTTTTTTTTTTTTTTTTTTTTTCAT